AACAAATGTGTACGAATATCCAGACAGAAGCACCGCAAACAACATAGTTACAACTGATTTTGGAAAGATTTCTTAAATATAACGTTCGACCGGCATCTCCCCTCGATAAGTTCGCACTGATCCGAAAGGTATAGAGAAAAGGGCAATCCTATTGCATCGTTTAATAAAGGGGATAGTTGTCAAATCAGAAGATTTATGACCGTCCTACTGGCACCTTCCCCTTATAGAAAAAAGACCAACCGGTATTCTCAACATCTGGGTTACTTTATGAGTAAATTTTTGTTTTCATTGTATTATTAGTGGTAATAATTTATTTGTTAGGTTTCCATAAGTATTTCCGATATTTTTTTACCTTAGACTCTCGCTACTAGGTACACACTGATCACTGACGGGTTTTTTGCGCAAACTTATTACTCTAATTGGTATATTTTATTAAAAAAAAACATTTAAATTTTGTCATTCTTGAAATAAATAATTTTTTTGGCTATTATTCATAATTATTATTAAGTATGGTTTTCAAAAACAATTGGTCAAAAACGCAAAGACCGTAAGTTAATGTCCCAGGAGAATAAAATGTTCAAATGAGAGACGCTCCTGAGAAATTTAGTGATTGAGAAATTGATTCTGTGACTAAGCGAGAACACTTAGTACGTACGAACACTTAGTGTTTTGGCTTCAGTTCGTTTAGTCAATAGTTTACTGAACTTGGCGCATTGATGGTCGGATTCGGACATTCAGACAACTTTATGAGAAATATCAATATAAAAAAGTACGTCGTACTAGAAGGAAAAGTCGTAATTACGAACGAACTCTAAAAATAGAAGAGAGTTCTGAAATCATTAATCATCAAAGTTACTTAATTTTTAATCCTTCTCAAAGTGTTCAACGAAGCGACGCCTGTACTATTAATTTTTTCGGTGATTATTTTACAACGCTCAACCCTCAAAACGTAATAGAGGAAAAACGTATTTTCAATTTTTCCTCATCTAACTGTCTGATTTTAAATATTACCCATTAATCTTGAAGAAATTAAACAAATGAGTTCACCTACAGTTTTCATTTACTAACATGCCATTCTGATAATCATACTAAGTGAAGTAGAAGTAACGCATTTTCTTCAGACATCAGAGTGGTTTCGGGAAAAAATCTTGTAAGCAGTGCTATAAAACCGTTATTTATGTCTTTGCTTTGGATCGTAAAATTAAGAAAAAACAGTTGCAAGAAACGAAATCCTTCGACATCGATAAAAGCATCAAATTGGCAGAATTATCATTAAAATAGAAAGTACAAATCTAAACCAATGAGAGGGTCGTCAGAAGTCTTTTTCTACGGTCATAATTATACCTATACTCATAGGTAAAATAGATAAGAGTAAAGTTTATGTTTGGCCTTTCAAATCAGCTTTTATTTTCGTCAGGTACACAACCTGGCGTGTGTCTGTTATTTTAGTCCTGAGAAATTTGTCACCTACTGCTTACAATCACTGTGAATTATAGGATCATACCCGTTGTGGTCAAGGGTAGGCCATTCTACCAAGGCGTTGAAAAGATTTAAATTGGACAACCAGAAACCTGATAACAGGTGTCTGTTTCAGGAACAAAACGTGTAAGTTAGTGGTGGTCAACACCTTTGAGCTATTATTGCACTCTTTATTGACCTGACTACGAATGAGCTGATCTGCGACATTCAGGACTAATTGACTTTGGAAAACCACGCTAAAAGACAGGCGAATGACCATCATTCTTTACCTTAATACATTAATTGAATAACCATAATTTGCCATAATTTGCGTTATTGGACAGGCTGAAACTCACAGTTGATGTTGAATCTTTGGCATCAACCAATGTTTAAATATTTCCATCCATTAAAACGGCTTTCTTATTTTCCAACATTTTGTATCCAATACCAGCTACATCTAAACCCCGAATTTCGAACCTTTACTTAGTTTCGATTTCTGATAATTCCATGTTATTTAAATGTACTTGGAAATTACAAGCAGAAGGAATCTGGTAAGATAACTGGGCCTTCAAACTCAGCTCGTAGACTTTTTGATACTTGTTTTCCAGGCGGTATAAAGCGGTTAAAGTTACATATCAAATATCAACTCTCACATTTCCCTAAGAGCAATTGTCAATAGATTTTTTCATGACTCGTCATCTGGTAAAATTTGAATTTAAAATGTCTACACCGAGATAGGGCATAATATCGCTTCATTGAAGGAGATCTGTCTGCAATTAGAACAGATTTTTTCAGCCGAAATCCTAACTTCTCCAATATTACGTGTATGATTTTCCCCTTTTGAAGACCTGGAGCGTTGTATTTTTGCTGTTTTCTGATATTATTTTCAACTTACACGGGTTTGGAGCAATCATAGACCTGGTAAACTGATAATTATCAGAAAAGATATCAGGGATATATCACAAATATTTTCAGAAGCCTAGCTCGTGTTCTAGGCCGAAAATCAAATCAAATACTCATACGTATGGTTGTTTGATTAAAAATTATTATTTAGCTCAGCGTGTAAAGATTACTAGTTAAACCGGATTTGCTTGAAATTCCGGCACGTCATTAGTGAACAGTGATACCAAAAAGAAAAACAACTGATACGTATAAGGCCTGAACATATTTTTATAGAAAGCGAAGGTAACAAATCCTATAAGATATTCTTTTAAGTAAAATAAAACCTATTTGAAGGTAGCAAATTTTCGTCAATACATTTTCAATTAACGTATTTGAATCAACAGTTTATGTTATTCAATGGTTTATACTTAAACTTAATTAAATTATAATTCGCAGTTCTAAACGTATCGCTGAAATTATGCCGAAATTAAATTTCACTACTTCATATCGACAGAGTATGGAGCATTGCTATTTTCAATACTTGCAATTAATGTTCTACCGTGCGATCCATTCAACTTATACTTATACTTATAAAAAAACATTCAATTATCAACTAGTTGGAAGCAGAGCTTCAACTTTTCTAGAAAATGTTCTTTAATATGATAAGCTCATATTCTGGTAAGCAAATGAAAATTGTGAACTGAGCTTATCATGTGAAGCTAACAAGTTTTGTGAATAAGCTCATGAAATGAACGAATTTTGATTGATTGAAAGAACTAAATTTTGATAACATAAATCGATCTGAATTAAATATCTAGATCAACTTATTTATGGAGACACCATTAGTATAATGATATATTTCGTTTATATATACTATTGCTATATTTTTATTAGGCTTTTGGCAAATACTTTCGTTTCGAGTGTCAATTTTCAACAATTCATACTCCAAATTACATGGATTCAATTAATCGCCAATCGTTGGCGGATATAAAATACATTAAAGAAACCAGGAAGTTTCTAAATTGAACGCTCATTACAAAAAAGTTCGGGAAGAGAAGAGAGACCTGACCGCCAAGAACAGATCACCTTGTTGCTCATCATCTGAAAGCTGCGAAAATAAGAACGGAAAAATCGATATAATCTTCGAATTTCAGTCCCTCGTTGCTATATGAATAAAGTGTTCGCCCTTTACCTAATGTAATTTTTTCCATATCGATAAGTTTTGCCATGGACCACCCAACTCTTATCTCTCTGACCTTTGTTCAAACGTATATTTACTCTTTCAATCAACGCTTCTACTTTGTACCCTAATGGGGTAGTTCCGTATCCGAATAGCCGCGAAACACAGTCTTCAAGACTTATCGTCTAGAGAAAAGTATATTTTATTAAATAAATTCTGCTTTAACGATGAAACAATAAAAATATCTTGCCTAATTTGAGAATTTCATAAGAACCAGAACAGTGTAAGCGTTCAAGCAAACCACTTCTGAAGATGCAAGCCACACGTGCTTGCGAAACGTCAAGAAGAAATTCTACCGAACGACGGCCT